AAGAATGACTACTATTTTTTTTCCATTAGAAAATGTTCACTTAATGCAAAAGAGAAGTGTAAAAGAAGAACAGAGGAGAAAAATGACATCATATACATAGAAAACAAAAATGCAGACATAAATTCAACTATATCAAAAGAACATTAAATGTGACTGAACTAAACAATCAAATCAAAAGGCAGAAATTGTCAGACTGAATGAAAAATAAAGATTAACTATTTGCTATCTATAGGAGATACTTAAAAGATACAAACAGACTGAAAGTAAATGAATAGAAAAAGATAACCCAGCAAACAGCAACAAATCAAAGTAAGAATCATCAGTAATTTATCTAAAAATTGGCAAATAATACCTTTCACAACACTGTGTCTGAGTCTCTGTTGAAGACAGTGATATTTTTCTCTTAAAGAAACCCTTATGTCCTCAGGATTGGGAAATGCTTTTGTGAAAATTTCTGCTACCTTCAGAAAAAATAAAAAAATGTTTTATAAGCAGTATCATTCTTAATTAAAATCTCTGGTTCTGATTTAGTTTATTTTCACCCACCTCTCTGATTGGTGGCAGGTCTCCAATAAGACTCAAAATTGTATCCTGAATAAGTTCTTCAATATTCAAAAATCGAGAGAAAGGTAGCATTCTATAAGCCCATTCCACAGCACTAATACAGTGCTCAACCATACAAGAATCAAACTCCACTTCCAAGTCCTAAATGGAGATTGAAAAAACTGTATTTCATTTCCAGTTTAAATGGACAGACAAAAATGACTTCAAAAAAACTTTTGAACAGTAAAATCTTCTATTAAGCATTAAATTTAAAAGTAATGTTTGTTCATTTTTCTTATTGTTGTACAGGTAATACCTTTTTTTCCCCCACATTTTCTCTTGCTTTCTGATATTGCCTGCAACTATAGGATAACTTTTCACGGATATGCAGCATCCAACACAAAGCACAAAGTTCTCTGAAGCAACCTAAATCAGGTATACAAATATGAAATAAAGTTGTATGAGCATGTACATTACCAACATTCCTACCTCAACTGGTATCTTCATTTTGTTGACTATAAAAGAAACAATGCTCATTGTAAACACCTTATATAAAAGTCATGGACATCCCTCTAGAATTTTTATGTTTGTTGTTAACTTACTCTATTAACTGTTTACTTGTTTTACAACTTCACAATGTATTATGGATATTTTTCAAAGTCAATACATATAACTCTAATTTATATTGTTCTATTGTGTAGTTAACTTATTTGGTAAGTCACTTATTGACAGGTATTTATGTTTCAATTTTTTCAATATTACAAAATTAATTTTCAGTATTAATATTTTTATATTAAAAACAATATACACAAAAAAAAAACATACCATGTATGCTATTTAGCAACTAATTTTTTTTTTACCTAATATATCCTGGATATCTTTCCATGGTGGTAATATAAAGGCAGTCCCTGGATTATGAACATCTAGCCTATGTGCAATCCATAGTTATGAACCAACCCCTATAAAGCTTATTATATTAAAAGTTTGAGGTATATAAACTGGTTTGCAACAATATATGGGCACTACTATGCCAAGTCACTTCTCAATAATCAAAAGACCAAATTAACTAAAAGAACAATAATACTTGTTCTTCAGTTAGAGTCAAAATGAAAATTCTAAAAATATGTGTTCAAAATCTCTATGTAAATCATTTCAAAGAATTTAGAAGAAAAAAGTAGAATGATACTAAAACTTTATTTCCTCTAAAACTTGATAGCTGGATATGACCTGTGAATAGTCAATTTATCAGAAAACTCAAGTTATAAATTAAAATGTTCAATATTATTACTCAAAAGAAAGATATAGCCCAGTAAGATGGCAGAATAGGCAGAAAGACTGCACAGACACTCTTCAACAAAAGAAAGGGGAACCAATTAACACAGATACAGAACATAATCTCAGGGCCCTGAGCTTTGAAGGGAAGGATATAAAAGTGGACTCAACTCCACTAGTAGAAGAACTTGCATGAAAACACCAAAACAGGAGACAGACGGAGCTGCAGTCTGACAGTGATCCTGATGGCACAGACAGCTTGGATATTGCCAAGTGGTGTTAGGACCTAAGACTTAACCTAAAATCAGCCCTGCTAGCCAGGGACTGCACAGAGGACTGACTGCTTTGGTGGCTGGTGAATATAAGGGAAAGCAGCAAAGAGGCCGACCGAGCTGTGGACTTTTGCCTGCCTGTAGAGCAGCCATTTTAATGTTTATAAGCAGTTTGACCATTTTTTATATTTAAAGTGACAGCATTCTCCCAGATTCCAGGGACTTAAGAATAGGCTCTACTTACCAGGAACTGCAAGGACATTCTGGATGCCAACAACTGGAAAGGTGCGATATTCCCCTTATTACTCTAATACCCCATACCCTCTTGGTGAATGGAGGTGCAGCGATCACTCACTTCCACCCACCTTCTTGGCCAGCAGGAATTCCATCCCACTCTGTGTGCTCAGACAGAGCCTGGGTGCCCTGCCCTGCCCAGCCCAGATTTTTTTTCCTTTTAGTTTGTTTGTTTTTGTCTGTTTTAAAATTATTATTACTATTACTATTTTTGTCCTTTTTATTATTATTCTTTATTCTTCCCTTACCAGGTTACAGATTTCAGCTTTTTCTCTCTCCCCTGTTCCTGGTTCCAATTGTTTTCTATCTCGTGCTTAACCCGGTTCCTTATTTTACTTTCTGTGTTTTTTCCCATTTTTTTTTTCTTCATTATTCTCCTACTCTACTTTTTTCTCTTATTGCCCTCTCCCCAGATATTGGGTTTTCTTGTTTTTTTCCTTTTTTCTTTTTTTGATTATTGTTCCTGTGTGATTACAAGGTGTGTTTTTTATCCACTTGCTTTTACTTTTTTGATGATTATTCCATTGTTATTTTTGTCTAAATGAGTGGGAGATTGTGTCAATACGACACAACTACACCCACACCTCCTGCAGCTCCACTTTCTGAGTGAGAGCCACCACTTCCTTCTCCACCAACTGGCCAACAACAAACAACTACCAAGAAAGCCTGACTCAACCTTAGCTGCTCTTCACAAACAGTTGACAGAGACCTAAATACAACAATGTCACAATGTCTCAGAGATAACAGATTATCATAGTCCACACAAAGCAAGATAAAGTGGTAGAAACAAGGGAGCAGGATACAGACCAAGAGCACATCCTTGAGGAAGAAGCAGCATTGGAACTCCTTGGTAAGGAATTCAAAGGAATTTTATTTAGGTATCTTCAAAGAATTGAGAGCCAGATCAAGGAATACACTGACAAAATTAAGTAACACACAGACAAAACCCTAGAACAATTTCAGAAGAAAATACAAGAAAAAAATGACAAAATAAATGAAAAATTAGAAATGACACAAAATCTACTGACAGAAATCCAGAAGATTAATACTAAATTTTCAGAAATAGATAACACAGAAAGGGCAAAGGAGCAGAATTGAATCAATGGAAGACAGAAGTAATGAGACTGAAGACAAATACCTGAATATTTTTTGGAAAGAGATCAATCATAAAAAAGATCAAAACAACACGAAAGCTAAGGTTCACGTGGATACCAGCAAAAGGAATAACCTACGTGTTGCTGGAATTCCAGAAGAGAAAGAGAAAAAGAAAACTACTGAGAAAACTGTCCAAGATTTGTTGGAAGAGAACTTCCCTGATATGATTAAAGATGAGAATATATCATCCATTCAGGAAGTCCAATGAACCCCAAACAGGATACACCCCAAAAGAAAATCACCAAATTACATCATCATCAAACTCACCAAAACCAAAGACAAAGAAAGAATCCTGAAAGCATCACAGGAAAAACGAGAAGTTACTTACAAAAGACAACCAATAAGAATAAGCTCTGATTTCTCAGTGGAAACCATACAAGCAAGAAGGCAATGGCATGGTATATATAAAACCCTGAAAGAGAAAAATTTCCAAACAAGAATTATATATGCAACACAACACAATGCAACCACTGCCATGGAACTGGATCCAACTCATAGTGACCCCTCCTTGGGTTACCAAGGCAGTTATCACTACAGAAATAGATTACCCAACCTTCCTTCCAAGGAGTGGCTGGTGGGTTTGAATGGCCAGCCTTCTGGTTAGCAGTCAAATTCCTTAGGCACTACGCTGCATGATAGTGAAATTAGGAGATTTCTAGATAAGCAGATATTAATGGAATTTGTTAAAATGAGACCAACCTTATGAGAGATACTAAAGGGAGTCCTTAGAACAGAGAACCAATAATAGCAAACAACAACTGACCATTAATTCACAAGATAACATAACCCAGAAACCACAGTTATGGACCTATCCAAAGTAAAATAAGCTTAAAAGATTGAAAACAGGGAATCAGAGACATCAATTGGCAAATGATGACAACCAGAAACCAAAAAGAGGGAAAATACTACGTAGTTACAACACTTCTAAATGGTGAGGAAATCAAGAGAATTCCAAGATAGAATAGACTGTTCTAACCTTGGGGAGAACATTATAATTCACAGGTTACCTCAGAAAAATGACAAACCTTCAAATCACAACAAAAAAGAGAACAAACACAAATATTCAGCAAATACTAAAACAACAGCAACAGAGGAAATGATAACATGATTCATAAACATAATGAGCTCAGCACAGAAAATTATATGATACAAAGAAACAAGGAACACTGTGAAAAAACACATAAAAAAATGAAAGCAAACAATTTATACTTGTCAATAATTACACTGAATGTCAATGGATTAAATGCACCACTCAAGGGAAGGAGAGCTGCAGATTGGATAAGAAAACAAAACCCATCAATATGCTGTCTAAAAGAGACACATCTTAGAGACAAAGACAAAAATAGACTAAAAATTAAAGGTTAGAAAAAGATGTATCAAGGAAATGGCAACTGTAAAAGAGCAGGAGTGGCAATATTAATTTCTGATCAAATTGACTTTAAGACAAAAACCACCATATGCGACAAGGAAGGACATTATATGATTAAAAGATCAATTGAACAAGAAGATAAAACCGTACTAAATATCTATAACACAATGAAACAACCGCAAAATACATAAATCAGAGTTGAAAAGGTAAATAGATGACTCCACAGTGGGAAACCTTAATACACCACTTCCAATGAAAGACAGAACAACTTGAAAGAAACTCAACAAAGACACAGAAGAACTAAACAATAAAATCCACCAACTTGACCTTATGGACATCTACAGAGCACTTCACCCAAAAGCAGCACAATATATATTCTTTTACAGTGCATTTTCTATAAATAGACCTTATGTTAGGCCATAAAGCAAGCCTTAATAAATTTAAAAACATTGAAATAACTGCTAAGCATCTTCTCAGATCACAACATTATCAAATTAGAAATCAACAATGGGAAGATCAACAGAAAAAGAGCAAACACAGGGAAACTGAACAACATCCTCCTCAAAAATGACTGTGTAATAGAAGAAATAAAAAAATAAAATTGAAAAATTCCTTGAACAAGAATTAAAACACAAAACACCCAAATCTTTGCAACACAGCAAAAGTAGTGATCAGAGGCTGATTTATAGCAATAAATGCACACATCAAAAAAGAAGAAAGAGCCAAAATCAACACATTATCCAACATATCCAACAATTAGAAAAAGAACAGCAAGAAAAGCCTGTAGTCACCAAAAGAAAGGAAATAATAAAGATTCGAGCAGAAATCAATGAAACAGAAAATAGAAAGACAACAAAAAAATCAACAAGACCAGACCAGAAGTTGTTTTTTTAAAAGATTAATAAAATTGACAAACAACTGGCAATTTAACAAAAGAGGGAGAGAATACAAATAACATGAATAAGAAACAAAATGGGCGACATCACAACAGAACCAACTGAAATAAAAGGTTAATATCAGGATACTATGAGGAAATATACTCCAAAAAATTTGAAAATCTCGAA